CATACCCCCACATTTATATCAATCAATGGAATGAATTTTCTAAAGTTGAGAGTGGCTTCTCGATTATCATTTTTTTGTATATTTTAATGATTCCCACCTTTTTGCCTCTTCACCATTTTTATATACATAAAATAATGCCTTTGTGTCTCTGTGTGTGTATCTATATATATTAATAATAACACAGTAGTGCAGTGTACCTGTAGGAGAGAAGATAAGGGTTTAATGGCCGTATGAGTGAGTGGCTCCTGCATGAAATTTTACGAACAAACTAACATGGACAAATTCCTGATTTCCTTCTACTTTTTCTGTTTGCTGCTGCTGCTCTTGTTCCCTTCTTCTTCTTCCTTTCCCTTGTGCACTGACCTCAGTAAGTGTGTGTGTGTTTTCTGTGTGTGTTTTCTGTGTGTGTTTTTGGGGTGCCATTTTTTTATTATTTTTTAATGAATTACAGGGGCACCTACCAGCTGGAAGGGGGGGAGTTTGGCCGCCTTCTGTCCGTACAGTGGCCAAACTTGCTGTAATTCATCGGAAGATCTGCTGCTGCAGAACCGTTTTCTGGCCATGAACATATCTCATTCCCCCTGTGCTTCTGCTGTCAAATCAATCCTCTGTTCTGTCTGTTTTTCTTTTCTCCTTCAATTATCTTCTTCTTCTTCTTCATGAATCACATCTCCGCCATTGATTTTCACCTAATCGTTTTTATGTTTTTCCTCAGACCTGCGATCCGTTCTCGGCGAAGCTGTTCGCCGCCGAGTCGGAGCTCCGAACAGTTCCCTTCCTCTGCAACTCCACCGCCGCAACATCACTCTCATCTCTCTCAACCAACACCAACAATGGATTCTGCTCAACTGTTTGGGAATCCTGTAAGGACACATCCATTTCCAACTCCCCCTTCGCCCCCTCGCTCCAAACCAAGGCGGCGATTCCACGGAACGCCACGTCATCCAAACTAACCGATCTCTGGCAATCCGAATCGGACTTCTGCGCCGCCTTCGGCGGCGCCGCCGCCGCAGATCAGAACACACTCTGCTTCAACGGCGAACCTACATCCCTCAACAAAACCGACACATTATCCCCACCAAAGGGGATCTGCCTCGAGAAAATCGGAAACGGTTCGTACATCAATATGGTTGCCCACCCGGACGGATCGAACCGGGCTTTCTTCTCAAACCTGGCCGGCAAGATCTGGTTGGCCGATATCCCCGATCAGGATTCAGGAAAAGCGTTGGGAATCGACGAATCGAGTCCGTTCGTTGATTTGACGGATCAAGTTTATCTGGACACCAGCTTTGGAATGATGGGAATGGCGTTTCATCCCGACTTTGCATCCAACGGCCGGTTCTTTGCGTCGTTCAACTGCGATAAAGAGAAGTCGCCGGGATGTGGTGGGAGGTGCGCGTGCAATTTAGACGCCGGCTGTGATCCGTCGGAGTTAGGGTCTTTTGGTGGAGAGGTTTGCAAGTATCACACTGTTATTGCTGAGTATACTGCTAATGGAACCGCTTCTACCCCTTCCATGGTAAAACCCTCTTTTCCTTATATATTTATTTATTTCTCTTTTTTTTTTCGGTTAAATTAAATTAACATGACTTGATAGACATTATTAATTAAGATTTGTCAAATAATTCGAAATTTTTCGATTTTGAACAATAGTTTTACGAACTTTAAAAACACTATTTAATTTGAAATTGGAAAATATATATGAGATTCTGATTTCTGAATTCCGAATCAATTTGAATTTTCTATTTTTTTTTTAAGATTCAAATATTTTAGTTATAATATCAATATTACTACGTATTTTATATTACAAGTGAATAAGAAAACATAATTTCTAATTTCCGCCTATTGCGATTCAATTTTGTGACCAAGTTTTTGTAATTGCAATTTCCGATATTCTGATTTTTTTTCAGAACAAAACAGGAATTACGTCCAATTTCGATATGATACGTCCAATTTCTACCATTAACTATTAAACAATCCTTCACATATAACTCAATACATCTACATTGTATAATCACAAATCACAAATCCCAAATATAAGATTAATTACCTTCTAAAAATTAAAAAAAAGAAAAGAAAAGAAAAGAAAAAAGATTAATAACATATCACATTATGTAAAAGTAGAATGTATCTAAATTTGTTATTTGATGTGAGATGTGTAGGCAAAAAGGGCAAAACCTCAAGAAGTGAGGAGAATATTCACACTAGGGCTACCCTTCACAGCAAACCATGGTGGACAAATTCTATTTGGACCAGCTGATGGGTACATGTATATCATGTTAGGAGATGGAGGGAGCAAAGGTGATCCCTTTAATTTTGCCCAGAACAAGAAATCGCTCCTCGGCAAAATCATCAGGGTCAATATCGACAATATACCAAGTCGGTATAGTATTCACTTTCTTCTTGCATCTACATACTGTATTAATTGAGCCTATATATATTGATCGAATAATTTTGATTTTCAGGTGACGATGAAATAGTTAAGCAAGGGCTATGGGGAAACTATTCAATCCCTCGAGATAACCCTTATTCCGATGATAAAGAAATGGAACCTGAAATCTGGGCTTACGGTTTGAGGAATCCGTGGCGTTGTAGCTTTGATTCAGAAAGGCCGTCTTACTTCCTATGCGCTGATGTGGGACAGGTTCGAATTCATTCTTTTTAAGGCACCTCGTATTTTATTCGAGTACTCGTCTGCACACTTGCTGATAACAGTCTTTACATGCAGGATCAATACGAAGAAGTTGATATCATCTCAAAGGGGGGGAACTATGGATGGCGTGTCTACGAAGGCCCTCTCGTTTTTCAGCCACAAAAAACGCCAGGTGGAAACACATCTGCCGCCTCGATAGACCCAATCTTCCCTGTGCTCAGCTACAGCCACGCCAATTTCAATAAACTTGGCTCTGCAGCAATATCGGGTGGATACTTCTATCGTGCTCAAACCGATCCATGTACCTATGGAAGGTAAAAAGAACACAAGTTAATTGTCCGTCTTTATTTCTTTGCACACAATCTTGATTAAATTAAAGTTACCCTTTTTTTTTTACCTCAATGTGTTTCAGTTACTTGTATGGAGATTTGTATGCAAGTCATATTTGGGCAGCATCGGAAAACCCCAGAAATAGTGGAAACTTTACGACTAGTGATGTGCCTTTCAGCTGTGCTCCAGATTCTCCGATCAAATGCGACTCTGTGCCCAACAGCAATTTACCTGCTTTAGAGTACATATTTTCGTTCGGAGAGGATAATAGAAAAGATGTGTACATTTTGACACAGAGCGGTGTGTACAGAGTAGTTCGTCCAGGGAGGTGCAGTTATGCCTGCTCGAAGGAAGTTGTGACTTCTACTAATTCTCCTCCCTCTGCTCCGTCTAGTGGCTATCTTGCTCGTCCGTATTCGGCACTGATTCTTCTTGTTTCTGTAGCTCTTGTTTTGCTGGAGCTTTACTTGTGACATGCAAGAGTTTCTTGTGCTGAAACTCGGAGGATCTTAATGAATAACAGACTTTCTCTACCTGGTATTTTCAGTTTAGCTAACCATTCTGATAACGAGTTCACGTGACATTATATCTTTCGATACACTAATCTAATAATAAAAAATAAAAAATAAAAAAAAAAAAACCAGGAGAGAAAAAAAGAAGAATAAAAATTCGATTTACGTGATTGTAAACTGTGGTGAAAAACAAATTTATTTCATTGTCGAAACAGAATATTGATGGCATCGTTGGAAAGCCCTACAGTAAGGACAATTTCCTTCTTGTTTGCATCGAAATTCACGCATTAGCCCTGCTGTAGCAAAATTCTCTATAGGATTCTCTGTTCACTGATACCATTACCAGAATATTGATAAGTATAATTCAGAATCCAATTCTTTCCTTTCCAACATACCGCTGCAGTATTCGGTATTACCTTCAACTCTTTGCGCAAAGCTCCTTCCTCAAATTCAATAAATTAGAGCACTCTCCTTTCTCTTCCTCGTTGCTATTTCTCGCTATTTCATTGGAGCATTAGATGCCAATTGCGTGTAAAATAGGTGAATCGGCCACTAGCAGAAATCAACTTAAAAAAAAAAAAAAAAAAAAAAATCCTTAGGCATGCATCTCCACCTATGAAAACCATAGTAGTCTCCCTTTTTACAGGCAAGGCATCATCAAGCTTTTTATCTGATGACACACTGTGAACTTCCTGCCTCTTTGCGAGACCTGTATTGTGTGGTAACGTATGAAGACTGCAAAAGGTCGATCCTCCATATTTTATGGAATGACTTAACAAACATCCATTACCCTGATCGAGATACGGAAGTCGGCAGAAGTATAATCAAGAAGTGATCATTTCTTCTTTCTTCCACCTGAAGCAACCAAATGGATTGTCTGACCAAGGGATTTTACTTATCCCTTGGTCTAATTAGTGAACCATCTCTCTGAAAGATGTTCCACCTGGAAATCAACAAACAAATATTCACATTAAACATATATGCCAATAAAAACTTACGAGTGGACATAATTGCAACGGAAAATGTCACCAAGGGACTTATCACTAACAAAGATAACAAATTAGCCACTTCTCATGGAACCAATAATTATACCGTTGACAAGAAAAATAGCGTAAAAAGCAGATTTTTTACCATGGTTCTCCAATGTCGCTTGCACGAAACCCAAGATATAAGACTTACGTCCTTCCACCTTTGCTATTATCACCGACAAACTTCTCAACAGCCTCGTCACAAAGCACCAAAGTTAAATCAACATTCCCCTCCTCGTAATTCATCTCTGCGAAGGTGCAGTATATCTCCGTGTCTGGAGATAATTCTTTTTTCCTCATCTCTTCAAAAAGTTCTCTGGCCTCCATATACTTCTTCCTTTTAATAAATCCTTTAATCAGTGCATTATAGGTCTCAACCGTAAGATTAAATCCCTTCTCAACCATTTCTTTATGCAAAAACCACGCTTCCTTCATATTCCTCATTTTGCAATGCCCTCGTATCAGTATATTATACGTATTCTCATCTGGTGTCACTCCCTGATTATACATACCCCGGTAAACTTCAGTGGCTGAACGCATATCATTTCTAACACAGTGCTGTTTAATAAGAGAATTGTAAGTGGTGGAATTAGGCATTATGCCCTTCTCCAACATCCAGTTTAGCAGCTTCTGACCATCTTCTAGCATCCCCGACATACAAAACCCATTCATCAGAACATTGAATGTGACAACAGTTGGTTTAATCCCCTTCTTTAACATCTCATGAAGCAGCTGGTGTGCCATAACCATTTCACCGTTTTTGCAGTACGCATCCATTAGAGTAGTGTAGGTATAAACATCGGGACCTATCTTAGCCACCTCCATATCTTTCATCAGCTTCACAGCTTGCTCTATATTCCCGGACTTACAAAGACCGTTGAGAAGTGCATTCCATGTGTAAATATTGAGAACGAGTCCCTTTTCACACATCTCGTGAAGAAGTTCGTTTGCTGTATCGACATCCCCTTTTTTACAGAGCCCGTCAACCAGTGCAGTGTACGTGACTACGTTTGGAATCAGCCCCACCTGAATCATCTCATTATGAAGAGAAAACGCCTTTTCGATTTCACCTGCCTTGCAGTAACCGTCAATAAGCGTAGTGTAAGTAAATTCATCTGCTTTTAATCCAATATTCAGCATTTCATAAAAGAGGTGGTCTGCTTCGGCTACTTTTCCGTTCTGACAGAAGCCACAAATTAGAGCAGTATATGTGATAACATCTGGAATAATATTCCGACTTTGTATTTCATCGTACATTCTGGATGCAGAAGCAGTATTCCCGATTTTGCTAAACCCATCAATGAGAGTGGTGTAGACTGCATTATCAGGAAAGATTCCCTGAGAAATCATCTCCCTCAATACCTTTTCGGCATCTAACACTTTACCACTCTTGCACAGAAGAAGGATTATACTGTTAAAGGTGAAGGCATTTGGCTTCAAACCTTTCTGTTGCATATTTTCAACAACGTTTAGCCCCGAATTAAGTTCTCCTTGATTACAATATCCGTTAATTACTGTACTGTAGCTCACAGCATCAGGAATGCAACCTCTTAAATCCATTTGCAGAAGTAGCTTATGAGCTTCTTTCGTGTTCCCCAACCGACAAAGTGAATGTATGACTATATTATAGGATACAGTATTCCACTGAATACCCACTTCAGAAAACTCACAGAAAACCTTTAACGACATTTTGGGACCATCGGGCTCTTTCGAAAGTCTGGAAAGAAACATGTTGCATGAATCAAGAGAGAGAACCACACCATAATTCAGCATCTTATCGAAGACCTTTCTCGCATCATCAAGATGTCCATCTTCAATAAGACATTGGAAAAAAATGTCAAAGATGCAGGGATCTGAACCCCAATCCTTGTAAGTGTATATTAATTTTTCAAGAAACTGGGAGACCGAGATATTGCCATCAATGCTCGGTTTTGTCCAGAATTCATGTAAAAGTTTTTGAGCCATCTCTAGATCGTTAGCTCCGACAGCAATTTGAATAAGGATGCAGCACGCCTCAAGTGACGGGTATCTTCTGATGCAAGACCAGTCAAATAAATTTACAATTAGTCTGTAATCGGTTTTTATGTCCATCAGAACCCAAAGGAGATGGTCGGGCCTGAATTTCGATTCAAAGGGCTTCAGAATCTGGCGAAAGGGCTCACATCGGCGTTGCTTGATGACAGTTGAGATATGGTGGACAAATTCAGAGTCTTTTATAGAAGGTTTTTTCGGTGAATAATCAGGAAAAGGCCTCACACCGGATGAGTCAAAGGAAGAAGAACTGAAAAGGCATACGAATAGATGAGGTCTGCTTGAACTTGGGTGTTTATAACAAGCCGAAGGGATGATGGGGCGCCTCTTCATTCTGGTGTAAGAGATCCATCAGTATAGGTTTCGAGAATTACATGTCCGATTTGAAGTAGCTCTCCTGCAAGGTTACCAATCACCGGATCACCTAGTACATGAAATAATGGTGCATTACTTTTATATGCTTTACATCTTACTAAAGTAAATTAAGTGAATACTCCCCATCGAAATCCAAACAAACTGCCATAGAGATACAAACTGAAAAGCTCTAACACACAATTTGTTCCCAAGAATGATCTGATCTTACGTTTTCAAAACTATTCAAACTTCATAGTATAACAGTACAAGAACTAAATATCAAAAAAATCAAAAGTTACTTTCGTGCATAACGCTCGGAGCAGTCAATCTTCAATCAAGAAACACATAGGGTAGAGTTGCATACTGGCCCATATGCTAATTCGAAACATTAAATTACTCTAAAAAATCTCGTAACAGTTTCCCGTTAACCAGACAACTACTAGACCTCTAGTCAATACAAAACGAGAGTTTCACTTCAATATCTTTACAATTTTTATTCTCATTGATTATCAAACCAAGAAACACAATTGAATTAACGTCAACAACCGTCATACAGTCACTGATTCATGTATGCCATAGAAAACTTATGTGCAGCAGCAGCAGCAATAACTGTGAACATCATTGCATAAGTACACAGCTGAAGTAAAGAAGAAGTGAAGAACTCAAGGCAATTCATCAAACATGTAGCGGGCACAACACCCTATAACACATTTCACGATAAACATTTCAAATAAAATCAACGAAAATAACTGAACTAACACGGAAAACATTCAACCTGAGTATGAATTGATACCGATAATGCATTTTTTTCACAATCGTCGGTAAAACTATTGGGGGGTTGGGGGAGGCGAGGGGGGCGTATGAGGAGGTTAAAAAAAAACGAAAAATAAAGCTCAATTAAATCATAAATTGAATAAAAAAAAAATCAACTCTTATTCTTAATCAATCCGAAGAGCAAAGGTAAACCTGCAGGAGTAGAGAATGCTGAAGAAGACGAGCTTTTAGCTGCTTCAGGTTTTGGCATAGTTTTGAACTTCTGTCATTTTTATTTATTTTTTCTGACCTTCTTTTATGGGCTTTTTTCTTTTTACTTTCGGGCTTTTACTATAATCCACCTATTTCGGGCTTTTACTACAATCCATCTAATTTGGGCTATACGTAATCCAGGTTCCGGCCCGGAACGAACTAAACATGTGGCGGATTAGTTGTGGACTGCCTTCAATCGAAATACTTACATAAAGTCTAGCTTCTTCAATACGAACTAACATATCCGACTTACAAATTATGCACTCAAGATCAGTACTTACAACAGACTGTCAAAGAGATATGGAAATAACTCAAATCTATTTTATTTTTCTCTCGAAATACTATCATTATTCTTTTCAAAACTCCGTGGTGAAAAACGACAATGGGGACTGATATTTATAGACTTTAGAATGCGTACACTACCTAGTTAAGCGAGAAAACAAACACTAAGATAATGAGCAAGTGAATTAGTGAAATAGAATAAATAATCAACCACTGATCCATTATTAATAACCGTCTAACTTATGACCTAATTTGGATTTTAAGAAAGTTAAAACACGTGGACTAAATTGTCGACTACTTTCAATATCAATAATCGAACATCCAATCTCGTGCATTTAATCATTTCAATTGTTGGATTTGATGTTAGAAAAATTTAACTAGTCATTCCCATTGATCTACATTTAATTTAAATCAAATGAGTATTATAAGGCCAATGTTTTTATTTATTTTTATTTTTAAAAAAACATATGAACCAAGGGCCCCTCCCAATCAACGGTTCAACCCTTACATATAACCTGCACCACCGATCAACGGCACACGTTCACCACCCACACAGGCTGCCACACAATCACCTCCATAGACTACAACAACCAAGTCATCATCATTTCCGAGCCCACCATATCACCCTGTACATGCACACAACCAAGCAAAGGCTTCGATCTCGACTCCACCCCGCCTTTCTCCTTCCACGATGACACAGCTCTTTGCCAATTTACAAATAACGCCACCTCCACCTTCACTATGTGTGATTCACAAACCGAATCCATTCGCAGCCTTTTTTATTCCTGCGAGCCAATCAGCAGGCTTAGTAGTAGTTCACCGATATCCACTTGCTGTGTGTATGCATGCACAAATCCCAAAAAAAATCATACGATTATTCGAACAAATCCTTCACCTGTCAAATTTGAAGCAAAACAAGAAAAGAAAGTGTCAGCTGATGAGATCATACGATTATTCGAACATAGATACAAGCAAAACAAGAAGCGAAAAGGCCGCTATTTCACTGCAGCGAAAAGTTTAGCGAAAATTCCGATCTCATCCAAAAGCAGGATTTTTCAGCATAAGCTCATAATAATACATGCGTACACAAAATACCAAAAAAAAAGTAGAGAGTTGATATATTAGTGGAATAGTGTTGGTGTTACAAATAGTTTCACATAAATCAAAGAGTAAAACTGATTCCTAGCAGTTACAAAAATGAGGCCGCAAGACATCGTGGATGGAAAAATAAATAAATCATCTAGAAAATGACAGATACGCCCCCCCTACTCAAGGATCAGCTATTCGAACTATGTACAAGCTAAACGAGAAGCTCTGTTTCTTTGGCTTGTAGTGGTCTGAAATTCTCGAGCGGTCATCTCATGTTGCAGCAAAGGGGTTTGCCGTGGAGTTGCAATTTATGCCATAAGCAAGTCATCTGTCTCGGAGATTGGTAGTGTGAAGTATAATAACCCTCTATACATCCAAATTGACAGAACTTCAAACTGTGCACGTATTCGACTGGCCTTGAGCTATTGAACTGCTCCACCCACATTCCCATGCTAACGTCTTCCATCTTGAATAACTGAGTCAATTCGAAATTTTGGGGCTCAATTTAAGTACATATATACAGTCACACACACACACACACACAGACAAAGGGAACACATACTCTTAGTTTATGTTCCTCGAACTCAGACACAATGTATTGTGCTATGTCGGATGATACAATATAACCAGGTCCATTTGCGTATGGTGGATACGCCTCTTCCGGCCATTCCTGCATACCCACAAAAGAAAGGAAAAGTGAGCAAATCCCACCCAAAAAAAAAAAAAAAGGGACTAGAAAGGCAAGAACAATTATGACGAGTAATCCAAGATATTATATTTTTCCTTTTACTCACAATGGTTATCTGAGGCAAATAAGTAAATCAATCCAAAATTTAGATTTTGCATTCTTGGAATAAGACAGGAACCCCAAATAAAATAAAATATATATATTACGTATTGTAAATTAGAAGGAAAAAAAATGTTTACAACGTTACAAAAAATAAACGAACAATCTAACAAAGAAGTCAGAGGAGAAAGACATACTAGGATATCATAATTCATACCTCATATGTGACTGCCCATTTACCATGTCGTAAAGGTTTGTGGTAATAGTTGATATTCCCAACATAGAAACTTCTACCACTTTCGATTTTGTTCAGCTCCGTTATTACAGCATCTATCCTCACAAATGTGTCGTCATCACATTTCATTATATACTTGGCCGCCACCGTGCGAACCTAAAAACAACTAGATATGTATAAATTGTCGAAAGAAGATTATGCGACAATCGTAAAGGATAGTAAAGGTGACTCACCCCGTATTCGCAAATTGCAATAGTCTTGAGTACAACGAGGTCATAGTTATCCATATAAGGCACTATAACAATATCACCAAAATACTCCGATTCTTTCATCAGCTCCACATTCACTTCCTTTCTAGCATGCTGCCGAAAACAATAATTCAAGAAACAAAAACAGAAATTAAAAATCAAGCCTTTTTCAAATAGCACAAAGTTCCAAGAAAGATTCCCATTTTTTATTGTCGTCTCTCACCATTGCCACAAAGAAACGAGTGACAACATTAGCAGACTTGACCGTTTTATACTGCATCCACGATTTTCTAACCGCCATCCGCTCGGCAAAGTGATTGCCAGCAGAGAGAATCCCGATAAAGAGCTCCACAGGTTCAGTGGGAATTTTTGGTGCTTTCCATTTGGAAGATAGCTCCAATTGCTTACGAGGAGCAGTACTCGGATGTGAAGTAGGCAAAGAAGCAGCAAATATCGAATGAATGTGAACATCCCCATTCATAAAAAGTCCCGTGGCGTCTTCGAGAGTGAAACCCTGTCAATATGACGCAAAACTTTCAAATGTCAGCATATGTCGAAAAAAATTCCTTACAAAAAGAGTTGCTAGAAATACTCACAGTGCGATAAGGAAAGGATGAAATGTGTCTCCCATCTACATTAATATGATAACCTTCCAATCCAGCAATAAGTGTAAGCACAAACAATTTGTTCTCTGCAAAAGGAAATGGCCAATCAACGGTAACCTTCTTTGTCCTACCGATCAACCTTTTCAACCACCATGTGGCCTTTGATTCTTCGGACCCGCTGTCATCGTCACGGTTCCATTTCTCACATTTTACCTGTCCATCAACTTCGTACAATCGAAAAAAGTTCATGAATAACATGTTATTTCCAGGGGCAAGAACACAATTTTGGACGCCACAATTGTAATTTACTATAGGTACATAAAAGTGACAAAACGATGACAACTAACAAAACACAATGTTAACTAACATTCAACATTTCATCCACCACGGATCCCAAAACACCATTGTCTAGGGCATCAACAACTCAAATGACCTATCCCACCTATCAAAAGACCATAAAAAAATAATGGCATATCCGAATTTTTCTTTTCCTCAGAAACCAACATAATAAATAATAAGCAGTGCAAATTAACATAAACATATACATACAAAGTCCCTCGCCACTGACCTTCAGAATTCGTAACTCTAAAATGTGAAATTAACTACAATTTATCGTACGAAAGCAAACGATCAGTTATCAGATATTCAAAAAGTGTACAGATATTCAACAGTTCATCCACAACCGATCCAAAACACCATTTTGTAGGGCATCAACAAAAAATGGCATATCCAATAAAAAGATTCTCCGAAAGAAACACAACAA